ATAAAGTATATTATTTTAATACATTTTTAAATAAAAATTATTTTAATATATTTTTAAATAAAAATTACTGAACCACAGTCAAAATCCTAAATATTTTTAAAGTTTGTTACCAACAATAGTTACTTAGGCGTTTGTTTTTTTAAAATAAGATTTTGAGTTTGAATCTTATAAGTTGACTACATCATTATTAAAAGTGTTTTTTACCTTTTAATAAGTCGAACAGACTTAACAAGATTAGCTGAAGTCCAGTTGACTTTTAGATATAGAAATTTTAAAAAAAAATTATAAAATTTATTATTTCAAAATTAAAAAAAATGGGTGTGCTGTTTCCTTTCCTTTTTTTTTTCTTTTTAAATAAGAGATTTGAATTCCAGGACTTTAAATTAAAAAAAAATATTATATCAATTTAACTACCGATCTTACTTGAACTTCGTTTATTTTTATAGTTAAACCTGTGTTTTACTGTAACTATAAGCTCAATTCACTTTGGTTACTCGTGCTTAGTATGGTACCGTTTTGTATAAATCACACTGAATTGTTTTCTTATTTAATTTTTTTTTAAAAAAAACTATAATTTATAATTTTTTTAAATATATATTTTCATTTTATAACTACAAAAACTATTATACTTAATGATTTTTTTATTTAAAAATATATTAAAAAATTAATTTTATATCAATACATTAAAATAATACAAAAACACAAAAAAAAATCTTCCTGGAAATCTAACCACTGGATTGTCAGGAAGTGAAGGTTTCAACAAAAACATCTATTAAGAACAAAACTTTATTACATTAACAACAGAAAAACCCCTTTATTTTGATTTTAATAAATTACAAATCCCTGTAGTTATCCACAATTTGCCTTTCTTTACAATAACTTCTGCCATTCCAATCTTTTCCATTTTGCCTTTTTGAAACACCACTCCTACAGGGAAAAAAACCCAGTCTTTCTATATCAAAGAAGCCTTAATTCAAACAAACAATCAATCAATCAAGTTCTGCCACTGCCTGAACTGTCATTTTGACAAAGAAGTAGAAGTGGGGAGTATTTCTTCATCATTGACGTCATCAGTTCTGTTTTCTTCTCCTGATGAGAAGTCCCAGTCGTCTTCCGCCGCCGCCATGGTGCTTGTTGTGGCGGTGGATGGTAGAGAGAGGGTGTTACATTAGCAGAGAAGAGAATGAAAGGCGCGCCGTGCCAATGCGTTCGTTGATTTTTTTTCTCAATAATTATTATTTGGCCCATTATCTCCATAAAAAAGCCGTGGCCCAAGAATAGAGAAACGCCCATTACAAAACTTAAAAGGCAATACTAATTTGAATTAAGAAATTTAGGCCTTTGGACCATTCCAACTTCCAACATAGTAGTGAGACCAGGTAAAGTTTTGGGTTGCTGTTCGCAATCAATCTTAATTCATTATTTTTATTTACAAAAAAACTATTCTTAATTTTAACCTAATTAGATTTGAATTTAAATCAATTAAATCAAAAATAAACTTCTTGAGCTAACCAAATTTAAATTGATCAATATTAAAATTATTTAAAATTAAAATTTAATTTAAACAAGGTTTTAAATTATAAATTAGCTGGATGAAGATGTCGAATTAGATAAAATTTATTAATTATGCTTTGTAGATTATAAAAAATAATTTTTTTAATTTTAAATTAGAATACAAAATTATTTTTCAAGTAAATCAAAGACAAATTACTTTCCTTGCAATCTTATCTTAAATTGAAATGTTCTAATAACAAAAGATAAGACATAATGTTGCAACCTTCTCTGACAATGTGTCAACATGAACATGAAGCGTAACGTAATTGAATTGCTGGAAAACGACAATATTTATGATCCTGTGGTAGTTATTGTAGATTGTTTTAGTCTTCTGCATCATATAACTTCAGCCGACGGCTGCTGATCTGAAGGTTATTTTATATATAAACGTTGATCAAAGTCCAAAATTTAATTGATAAAATGGAATTAGATGTTAACGATGATTTATATATCTTCTGCTTCATGAGCTAAGTTCTGTTACGAGTTGTGAGGGTGTTTAGAAGTATAACAGTGATTATTTTTTAAAATATTTTTTTTTATTATAAACAAAATAAATTAATTTTTTTATTTTTTATAAGAACACATGAAATAATCTGGAAATATATAAAAATTAAATTTTAATCCATCTCTTTTTACCGCAACATCACCTGCCCAGATGAACGGGATTATGATTATCAATTAGTGTCTTGTGTATGTACGAAGAATTGAAGAGACAATCACCCTGATATTGCATGGGGTTTCATATATATATATATATAATAGTCTTGTAAGCATTATTGGAGATTACATTAATTTAGGTAAACATAGTTTTCACCTTGTTCTGTGGATTACAATCTTCTTATTTGGTGTACTCCATACAAATTGGAGTGTTCCTGCCCCATAATATCATTATTCTGTAGCCACAACTTCTTGGCACACTTTAGTTGAGAACGATCGGGTATTTTGGCTGTTTATTTGGAAAAAATAGCCCCCAGTTTTTCTCTAATTCTGGGCTTTTGTTAACCTCGTCAAACATGGCAAAAATGTAGGTTTCTATAGGCTTTCCAGGCCTTTTTGGACTTCCTGTCTTCACATGTTGAACCAAGTTGTTGTTATATGTTCTTGCGTTATCAACTGATGTTCCTTTCCCTCCAGCTGTTGGCCAACCGCTCTCTGATACCACAATGTCCAAAGAACCTCCACCAGATTTCTCCAAAGCAGCGTAAATAGTGTCAAGAATAGCATCAAAAAGGTTTTGGTAATTCAGTGGTGGATCAGAGACTGGTGATGATGGAGCTGTGAAGAGAGCATAATCAAGGGGGATGTTTCCTGCTGTGTCACCTGAGTAAGTGAAGTATGGATACAAGTTAACGAGTAATGGAGATTGCTTGTCCACTAAAAAGCGAATGATCGGATCGAGAAGTGGTCTATATTCTGCCCTGAAAGAGCCTTTTGAGGGAGGGAAGGAATCATCTGTTAGGACCTCAGGATCAATAGCAGTTGAAACTTTGATACTTCCTAGCCCAGCTGAATCGAGTGCATTGCGAATGTTTTGCATGGCAGGGACTAGAAACTGTGCTGATGAATCTGAGGGCTTAACCTCATTTCCTACCGCAATGTATCGAAACCTGACATTGCCAAAGTTTCGTACATTGTTTTGCACCCATGCATTTGCATTGTCTTGACTAGAAGCAATCCCTTGAAGGTCAGGATTTAGAATACCAAGAATGAGCTCAATGCTGGTGCCTCCAAGGGCTCGTAAAGCATCTTGATTTGGATCATAGAGCCGCATTCTTTGAATGCCTCTCTCATTGTAGAGAGCTATGACTTCTGGTGGTGGTGGTAAGTTACCAAGCATTCCATAGCAAACACCTATCTGGGCACCTGCAATATCGAAGTAATCAGAAAGTAACCAGTTAATCACTCATTTTAGCAGCTCTGGTTAAAATATTTGATAGAAAATACGTAAATAGCATAGTTCTTCTGTGCAAAAAGCATGATTCTATCTACCTGCTGTATCTAGGCTAGCTAATAATATCCCAAAGAGAAGCATCATGGAAAGCATGGCAGGGCTTTTACCAACTAGATGTGATACAGCCATGCTTTATCAAGGAAACAATAATACTTGAAATAAGCTACAAATTAAAGAGAGAGAGAGAGAGATTGCTGCTTTGTTTGCGAAACTCCACTCCTTACCTTCCTTTTTAAAGAGGACAAGGAGCTCTACATCATCTATGACAACAAATTCCTATCAATTGAGATATTATTAAAAAAGATTAGACATGGTCTTGCTAAGAACTTTCAAATCTATAAATCCAAATTCGCAACTTGTAGACTACTCCGCAATGGTTATTTTCCACAAATTGTCAATGCTGAGTACTCGAGTCATTCAATGCAAATCTGACAGCTTGTCGTTTGGTACCTTCTCCATATGCATGAAAAGTCTTGAGAGTTTTTAATTTTCCTTTTGCGGTCCTTATAAACAGTCTTATGAGTCGCATCCTCTACTAGCTAAATTCTTCAAAGCCACTGTAAACTGTTAGACATCTAGCATGCAATATCATTTAAGAGCATTTCTTTGAGTAAAATGTGGAAAATTGACAATTTCTTACCTAAGACGGCAATGTTCCTGACTTCGTGTGGTTGTTCTAGACAAGAAGCACAACACTATAGATGTTGTTAGGTTTGGTACCACTTGGAGCATATAAAATTGATTCTGTAATAATTAACCTGAGATTGTTAAAGCTTAGGTTTTCTTTAATCTTGTGTATAAAGAAATAGTTTCTTTTATATTTTCTACTGTCGGGCTCTTTTGAAGGTTTATTTTTTACCTCGAGTTACCAGCTAGAAGCTTGTAAAATTTCCGACTCTAACCTAATGAAAGTCTACAGTTCATAATCATCTAGTTCCAAATGGGATATTTAGTTTGTTCATATAACTTCATACCCCTGTGTACCAAAGCTAGAATTTCCAAATTGTGATGCATGTATAGTAAATTGTTTATGATCCACACCATTGAATGTGTGTTTTCTTCTCCATTTTCATTTCTTAAAAGAGAGGGGGCAAAAAAAGTAAAGCTACATCGTCTCACATCGAGAAAGTCTTCGTTACATGTACGTATTTTAGCTACATGACATGTCTCTTCCAGTTGGTCATTGCCTGCAAGTCGTGACCCATCACCGTTTGTACGTGTCGGATTCTCTTTCTGATCAAATTAATAAAATCGCTTGACCCAATATGATCAATCGCAGCAAAATAATTAACATATGTTTTTATGAATATGTGCTAAATGATTTTATATAAATGAAAGAATATATTCAATAAAGTTGGGGTGAAGATCAAATACTGTTGTTGGCTCACAAAAAGTCAAGCAAAAACAGAATTTAACCTATTAATGGGTCATGGCGGCTAAAGACTAGATGACAAGCGCAAATCATGATAGACTCATGCAACAGGAATCCATGAACTGACTCGAAACTAACGAAATGTTACATTAACATAAGAAATGATTAAGTATATCACTGTTGTTCGTGGAGGATGTGGATGTATGTTAAAGACAAGCTAGTACAGACTACTGAATCAAGAAGCATGTCTGAGAAAATCACATTAAAGTATATAACTATTTTACAACTTTGCAGTGGAAGAATGGCTGGTCTTAAATTGCAATCTAGTTAGTTGCAATCACTTGACTAATTCTTTAACTAATCACAGTAAGTGAAAGCAAGAAAGATACAACAAGCATTGGTGAACACAGGCTTTGGGGGAGAGTTAGGCTTACATATAATCTTCCAAGAATAACTTGTCAGCCTCTTATCGGAGAAATGGTTTCTATCGTTGACCATCTCATCTGCCCGACCAGCAAAGATCATCCAATACTATTGCTTCTGTGAATGCACAGTTGTCTCACAAATAAAGCTCCAGTGCCACTGATGATTGAAATTCTTTGATGGCTACTTTTCCGGTTTATGTAGATAGTAACCAATTTGGAACCGCTTATGTTTTGATTTTAGCTGTGCATCCTTTAAGCAATTCATTTTCTCAAAGGGTCTACCACAGTCACATCTTCCTTTGAAATAATTTTCCCCTTAATTTTGTAACTATTTGATCAAGAACCCCTTCATTTTCAATTAAATACTGTTCAGCTGCATGTTCATTGCTAAATACCTCTCTGCCAATGACATAGCTGCTTCCTTCCTTCTTGATGAGACTCTGCTCACAAGCTAATTCCAAGACCTCAGATTCAAAGCAAAAGCCTCTCCCAAACTGTATCCCAATTTCAGCTTTTGTCATAGCAGGAGCCAATTTATTTTTCACGACTTGTGCACACACCCCAAGACCAGTAACCTGAATACATTGCATTATTTAACAAAACAAAACAGAAACAAGAACGTGAGATACTCAAAATCAATCAGTTCAAGAAAACTAACAACAAAAGCTTTGATTGTTAAAAAGTTTAAGAATGAGCAATGATCTGACAAGAGGTAAATTAGAAAAGAAAAGAAGACAGAAATTTAAAGCAAGGAGCACAGAATAATCAATTGACATAAACGAGATCAAGGATATACATGACTGAAAGTATGGTAATTCAAGCAGAATCTGAGAACATTATAGGCCCAGAACATCTTATTTGTCCATGTAAAAATTTATCACTTGTCTACAAAGCTTAGAAACTTCCCCACCAGACTTCAAGCAAAAATCAAACAAATATCCACATTAGGTTTTATGCAAAGAGCACATCTCTGAGGAACCTAACCATTATCATTTATTCAGCTTATTTGTTAACAATTACACTAAAGAATATACCTTGTCCCCAGTCTTGAGCAGTCCTGTTCTGATCATTCTCAAACGTACTGCCGAATAGAATTTCAAGGCATTTCCACCACAGGTGACCTCTTCTGCACGTCCTGATTTTAAACTTGTTCTAACCTGGAACATAATATTCACCAGAAAAATAATATTCACCACAGGTGAATATTATTTTCTCCATAAGTTACTGTTTACAGCTTCCATACAAAATATTTGAAACTATAACTATAAGTCTAGAACTCAACCTGATTAAGAAAAATAATAAGAGTTCGAGATTGGCACAATGAATAATTGATCTTCCTAAGTGCTTGGGTCATTAATCGTGATTGTACATCTTCAAAGGAGCCTCCCACCACAGTATCAATCTCACGTTGAGGAACAAGGGCAGCAACCTGTAAAATAAATGCATGGAACAGCATTAAGCATGATGAATGAGATAAGATCGCAAAAGAAGGATACTCTAAATCTATGAGTGTAATTTATAAAGAATCAAACCACCACAAAAAAGGTTATAATAATCATTGATAACAGGGCAAGGTTATGTACACGCAGATATGTGGGTGTAGCTATCCTCTTGAGAATTAATTACTTACACTATCAACCACGATAACATCTACAGACCCGCTTTTAGTCAGAGTGTTGACTACACTGAGCAAATTTTCAGCACAATCTGGACGTGAAATAAGAAGATTTTCTGTGTTTACACCCATTGATTTAGCAAGTGAATGATCCATAGCATTCTCTACATCAAGAAATGCACAATATCCTGACAAAAAGACAATTCAATGAGCAAAGATGATCCTACACTTTTTATGGTCCAGATTTAAAGAGGATATAATTATTTTAGCCACATGAGTAAAAAACACATCTCAAAAAGGACAAATACAGGTCAAAAGAACATAACAAAATCAAAATTAGTAATAAGTTGCCAAATATCATTAGAAATAAAGAATCTTTGTACCAATTTTTCAGTACTAAGAATGTTGCTAGCTTCTGGTGTATGACAGCAATATGCATAAGTAATTTTTGCGTGCTAAGAAGTTTGCCTCTTTTATTTGGTCATCCTCTGTCAGACTGCCACGACCAAAGATAATGAAAAAGAGTATTTGCTTATTGCTTGTCCAATGTAAGTCTATAGGAGGTGGTGGTAAGTAAACAAGCAGGATCAGATCACCGAAGCATAAATATATCTTATCCCTTTTCTGCAATTATTTATCTCTATATCTATCCATCCATGTGTTTGGGTGTGGTGGGAGTGTGTGGTTGTGTTTTATATGCAGAAGGAAACTATATCTATTTATTCATGTGCTTTGTTTGAGTTTAGGTGTGGGTGTGTAATCATATATCACACAGATAAATTCTGAAGTTATTTATTTTGGCACAAAAGAACATTTTCAGTAAACAGCGGTGTAATTAAGAAAATGTTTCAGCAAAAGTTTCAGAAAAGGAAGAAAAAAGGATTACGGGTTGACTGTAAGATTCAGGTAATTTGGAATACTGTAGCATCAACTAATCTTTCTGATAAAACTAAGTTCAGTGTTAAAAACAGTAACATGCCCAGCAGATTATAAAATCCCTCTACACAAACTTCAAGATTTTCATGGATAAAGTTAACAGCAGACTATGAAAAATCCCCAACAAAAACTTGAAACCAATATAAACCTATATCAATTTATTTCGTGCACAGTGCGTTGCACAGTTGCAAGAAAAAGGAAAGTGGAATCCAGTGATTCCTATATAAAACAAAAATATGGAACAGTCCTATCATTTCCTGTGTGCTGGGAATAAAAGACAAGGACAAAAAGGTCACTCTATGCCTTCCTAAAGAGCCTTGCTGGAAATAGAAAACGCTACAGATCACAAAAAAATACAGGTGACAGGCTATGCCAGTGGAACAAAGGTAATGAATCCAGTGATCATTACATAAAAGGCAACAAGGAAAAAGTGTGTGAAATAGAGAGATACAAGATGACTTAATATAAGGACCGGTTTTCTTTCTTAACAAGGATTAATAACTGAAATTGGTTAATGAAATCTCCAGTAATCATATCAAAGTTCCAAAACCTATAAATATTTAGTATGGATTTTACTATGTAGTGCTCCAATTAAAATCAATCTGAAGTTCTTGAAATCTATGTTACATGTCTGATATTCAAACTGCAATAATCAATTAAAAATAGAACCTGATTTCCTTGTTAAGGTCATGCATGCCTACTTTCATGGAATGTAAAACAGAAAGCATGAGAAAGCTAGGAGCACACACCTCCAAGCTTTTGAGCTTCCTTGATAATGTGAAGTGCAATAGTTGTCTTGCCAGAAGCTTCTTGCCCATAGATTTCAACCATTCTTCCCTGCAGAGTGCAAGGCAGATTTCTAAGCAGCGTTGTCCTGATGATTTTTCAAAATTCATGGATAAACTAAAAGGTTCACAATCAAAAAGACTATTGATGTACATATGCTAAATGTGTAGCTTCATTTATTTTCACAACTGCAGTTTCCATCCAAACAATCACAAGAGTTCAGCACTGATAAGCATGCCATAATTAAGTTCCTTAGCGATTCATCACCATGGCCCCCGCATAGAAGAGAGAATCATATATCAAATAATAACTAACAAATCCCAAAAGCAACTGACACAGCAAAGGAATAGAATGCATAAACCTTTATGACAATCCAAAGAATATAAGATTGAACAAACATGGTAGACAAACATGCTAATCATATATAACCCTTTCACCTTCGGTAATCCACCAATTCCAAGTGCAAGATCAAGCTTCAACGAGCCTGTTGATATAATAGAAGCTCTTCGTGAGCTGAAAAACCGCTGCAATGACAGCATAGACTCTCTACCAAATTCACCAGCAAGCTGGGTGAGAGCCAAACGAAGCGCATTATCTTTCTGTTTCGCTTCACCCTTGTCATGGAGTTCATCAGGTTCAAAATCTGAAACTTCACCAAGCAGTACGAAATCATTCTTAAATTTTCGAACTTCACCCAAATCATTCACACAACTCCAGCCAAATAATTTCCGCATTCATTTCTGCATGTGAATTTATAGATAATAGAAATTAGCAACAAAAAAAAAAAAGCTGATTACCTACAGAAGAAAGAGTG